ACAAGCTCGACATCTTCCGGTTCGACCGGACTTTGAGAAGAACGAACGCATGTGGAAAGAGATCAAGAAAGAGCTGCTCGGCGAAGATTCCGAGGCCGAAGACGGCGACGACGAGTCGGGCGACTCGGACGACGACTCGGACGACGACGACGACGCGACGCCGGCGCCCGCGACGACGATGCAAATCCACGACTTTTCCGAGCAGGACCTGGTGAACCTCCGCCGCACGATCTACCTCACCATCATGTCGAGCGTGAGCCACGAAGAGTGCGCGCACAAGCTGCTCCGGCTCAACATCCGTCCGGGCCAAGAAGTCGAGATTTGCGGCATGCTCATCGAGTGCTGCTCGCAGGAGCGCACGTACTTGCGCTACTATGGTCTCCTCGGGCAGCGCTTCTGCCTCATTCAGCGCGAGTACCAGAACGCGTTTGACGATGCGTTCGCGAAGCAGTATGCGACGATCCACCGCCTCGAGACCAACAAGCTCCGGAACGTCGCCAAGTTCTTCGCCCATCTTCTCTTCTCGGACGCGCTGCCGTGGACCGTCTTTGAGTACATTCGCCTGAGCGAAGAAGAGACGACGTCGTCGTCGCGCATCTTTATCAAGATCCTCTGCCAAGAGCTCGCGCAGCACCTCGGCGTGGCCAAGCTCAAGGAGCGCTTCATGGACGAGTTTATGGCCGCCACCTTTAGCGGTCTCTTCCCCAAGGAGAACCCGCGCAGCATGCGCTTTGCCATCAACTTTTTCACGTCGATCGGCCTCGGTGGGCTCACGGTCGAGCTCCGCGAGTACCTCAAGAACGCGCCCAAGGCCATCATGAACGCCCCGGCGCCGTCGTCGGACGACAGCAGCTCGGACAGCTCGTCCTCGAGCCGCAAGTCGTCGTCGTCGTCGTCGTCCGGATCGTCGTCCGGGTCGTCGTCCAGCGACAGCAGCTCCGACTCGAGCGACTCTGAGTAGGCACCTGTCTCTAATCTTGCTCGCCATCATACTGTGTTTACTCCATCATATTGTCTGCTCGGTCGTTTACAGTGAGGCCAAGGCCGTGAGGCAGTGTCGCCACGAGGTACTAGTAGCGTGCAGTAGGCTCTATCGTGAGGTCATGTGCCCTACACCGCTTCCTCGCAGCGCTCCTACTTCCCTGCCACTCCCATAATCTCTTCTTCTCTTGCTAGCATAAATGTGCAGCAGCCCCATGCAAGGAGGATTACTCGAATATGCACGACAACGAAGGCGCTGTCGCAGGTCGATGACGATGGCCGCCCGGACCGTCATCATCATCGTCGTCGTCGTCGTCGTCGTCGTCCTGCGGCGGTGACCGCCACTGGTCCGCCACTGCGCCAGCAGCGACGGCTGCATGCACCGGCCGTGGCCAGTCGCCTGTCTAACCAGTTGAAACGCCGAGCTGGAATTAGCGCCGTCCGGATGCGCCGGCGTGGGTTTCACATGGCGGGTTGCAGGCACAGAAATATATTTTCGAATTCGCCAAGATATACGCACCTCTCGATCGCTTTCCATGGAAGAAAAGTCGCGACGCCCCGAAGGTAGACGAATATGACGAGGTTCGCCGCGTCGGATGGCCTTGACGCTCGCTGTGCATGTAGACACGCCCTTCAAGCAGCAGAAGCTCAAGGCGTGGCAGCCGATTCTGACGCCCAACTGGGTCATTGGCACCTTCTTCGTCGTCGGGCTCATCTTCATCCCGATCGGCATCATCCTCCGCGTCGAGTCGGACCGCGTACGCCGCTTGCGATGCGCATGGCGGCATGCATGACGGATGTGCTTGGTAGGTCGTCGAGCATGCGATCCAGTACGATGGCGCGGGTGCGCTCACGGCCGCGAACGGCACGCTGGGCGGGCGGTACACGGTCTTGAACACGAACGGGTCGCCGGGCTGCCAGCTCGCGAAAGAGTCGGACGGCAACCAGTTCAACCTCTCGGCGCACAGCTGCATCCTCCGCTTCACGCTCGACCAAGACATGAAGGCGCCGATTTATGTCTACTACCAGCTCGACAACTTTTACCAAAACCACCGCCGGTACGTCGCGAGCCGCAGCGACGAGCAGCTCCGTGGTGGGCAGCCCGCGTCGCTCTCGGACTGCGAGCCGATGGGCTCGTCGCCCAAAGACACGCCGAGGTACAGCTCGCTGACCAACTCGACGCCCGACGTCGGCACGTGGGCGCTCAACCCGTGTGGGCTCATCGCCAACAGCATGTTCAACGGTACGCCTGCTCCAAATCCTCTCTCGCTGCGATCTCACGGTCGCATTAGACATGTTTTGGATCAACAGCATCACGACGCCGTCCGGGACGCGGTACATGCAGACCGACATGTACCCGACGCCGTCGTCGGCGACGGTCGAGGTCGTCAACCTCATGGTGCAAACCGGCATTGCGTGGCAGTCGGACATCGACGCCAAGTTTGACAACATTCCAGAAAGCCAGCACCTCCCGAACGAAATGTATCTGTGGCAGAACCCCAACTACCGGCACATTATCCCCAAGAAGGTGGGCGAACCGCGCATTTTGAACGCCACCGCGTGGACAACGCCGACGTCCACGGCCTTTGGCGTCAAGAGCGAGCACTTTATCGTGTGGATGCGCACGGCGGGCCTGCCCAACTTTCGCAAGCTCTACGGGCACATTGAGAACGACCTTCCGAAGGGCACGACGCTCGACTTTCTCGTCTCGTCCAGTACGTCTCGACCTCTGGTAGGGTGCGACCGCCTCACGCGACTACGTAGACTTTGTCGTGAGCAGCTTTGAGGGCAAAAAGTCGCTCGTGCTCTCGACCACGTCGTGGTTTGGCGGCCGCAACCCGTTCTTGGGCATCGCGTACATCACCGTCGGCTCGCTCTGCATGGTGCTCTCGATCCTCTTCTTTGCCAAGCACAAACTGTCGCCACGCAAGCTCGGCGATACGCGGTACCTGGTCTGGAAAAACAACCAGTAGCGAGAAAAGCACCCTTAACTTCATACGACGATACATACTAATACAAGAACTGCACTGTGTGGCGAGCGAAGTCGCCGCCGAGAGAGCCGACGCCATCGACGCGCACTGCTACGAAATCGTGCTGCAGGTTGCAGAGGTTGCTGCACGGATCGCTGCACGGGTCGCGACGCTGACGGCGTGGCATGCGAGTAGCCTTGTCGTTGCGGCTACGAAGCCTCAAGAGTGCGTGCAAGCCCTCTCAGCGGGTCCCGCATGGGACATGCTCGCCTCGCATCATCACTTGCTCGTTGCATTCGAAGGCAGGCGTCGAAGTTGCGACGCAGCCGCGAAAAATATGTTTTTTAATGCGTGCTATGCACATACAACGAACGAGATATATAAAAGAGGCGGACGACCGAGACCGAAGTTCGAAGCCAACCGACTCGAAGAGCGGGCAGTAATTTTCGACGGGAAGGGCAGGACGCGGACGACCTGGACACTACACGATGAGCAACACGGACGCCGAGCACTCGAAGCGGCCCGACGGTACGGTCGCCGCCGATCCCGAGGACGCTCATGCATCGATCGAGACTAGATACGCCGTTCAAGCAGCAGCGCCTGAAGGCGTGGCAGCCCATCTTGACGCCCAACTGGGTCATTGGCACCTTCTTCGTTGTCGGGCTCATCTTCATCCCGATCGGTGTCTTTCTCTTTGAAGAAAACAAGAACGTACGTGCTTGTCGGTACCCGGCGTCTTGTGATGCAACACGCGTAGATCGTCGAGATGTCGCTGCAGTACGATGGCGTCAACATGCGCGCGCCGTCGGCCGCGGACGGCGTCGCACTCCAGAACGTGAGCGCGAATGGGTGCTACCTCAAGAACGCCAAGGAAGGCGACGCGTTCAACATCACCGAGCATGGCT